CCTTCAGTGCAGCTATGACTTCTTCCTTCAATACCATTAGTTCTTGATCATGTGCTACCTCCTGAAATGATTGAACATTGATCAATTCTTTTTGGTAGAGTGGTTCTGTATATTCCTTCCATCTTCTTTTGATGTTTCCTCCTTTCAATATTTTGCCCATAGAATCCTTAAATATTGCAATTCAAGGATTGAATTTTTTCTTCAGTTCTTTCAGCTTGAGAAATGCCGAGCATATTCTTCTTCCCTTTTGGTTTTCTAATTCCATCATAATACTTTGTCTTCTCAAGCTGCCCTTGGAAATCTTCTGTTCAGCTCTTTTATTTCAACAATTCTTCCTTCCACTTTACCTACTTTCCATTCAAAAGCAAATTTCAGAGTCTCTTCTTACATCCATTTTGGTCTTTTCTTCCTTTCCTGTCTTTTATAATGACCTTTTGTTTTCTTCATGTATGATATTCTTGATGTCATTCCAGTACTCATCTGATTTTCAGTCATTGCTATCAATGCATCAAATCTATTATTCAGATGGTCTCTAAAATTCGGGTGAGATATACTCAAGGTCATATTTTGACTCTAGTTGACTTCTTTTAATTTTTTTCAGCTTCATCTTGAACTTGCTTGTGAGCAATTGATGGTCTGTTTCACAGTCTGCCCCTGGCCTTGTTACGATTGATGATTGTGTAATTAAGATTGTATGTCAATTTGGCTGAGCTGTGATTTTGAGTGGCTTAGCAGCTGTGATGTAGTCATTCCCTATGATGAGATTGGATGTGATATAATCACTTGCATGGTGGAATCTGCTGTGAGCAGTTTATCAGTTGAAGGGAAGTTTCCTTTGAGGTGTGGTCTGCTTCCAGTATATATGGAAAGGATGTGCATTTGGCCTGTTCATCATCTCTAATTCCTGCACTTGAACCAATGGCCTGCTATGTTGCCTGCCGATCTTGGGACTGTTGCCTTTGCAGCCTGTAAACCAGCAATCTGCTATATTTCCTCCCAATTTTGAATTCCTCAGCCCCTGAGTCAGCTGGGTGAGTCAGGAGAAGCCTCCTGCTTGCTCTAGTAGGCCTGAAAGGCAGAGCTAAAGCCCCAGGTCAAGGGGTCTCCACCTGGCCCCTAGAGCAGGCACTTTGAACTTGAACTTCTAGCCTAGTCTTCCTCTTGACCTGGCACTCTGAATTCAAACTTCTAGCCTCCTAAACTGTAAAAGAATAAACTTCTGTTTGTTAAAGCCATCAACTTGTGGTATTTCTGTTATAGCAGCACTAGAGAACTAAGACAATGATATTGAGCTTCTCCATCATCCTTTTCCACAGATGTAGTCAATTTGGTTTCTGTCTATTCCATCTGGTGAGGTCCACATGTATAGTTGTCATTTATGTTGCTGCAAAAAACTTATTTGCAATGAATAAGTCATTTGTCTTGCAAAAATCTGTTATGTGATCTCTGGCACATTTCTGTGATCTGGCTGTGGTGATAGAAATCCCAGCTTCTAAGGAGCATTCTGGCTCCACTTCTTCCAAGACAGAGGTGTTTGTTTTTCTGGTTGTTGTTGTTGTTGTTATGTGCCGTCAAGTTGGACCTCACTCATAGCGACCCCTCCTTGGGTTTCTGAGGCAGTATCACTACAGAAGTATATTGCCCAACCTTCCTTCTGAGGACTGGCTGGTGGGTTTGAACTGCCAGCCTTCTGGTTAGCAGTCAAATGCCTTAAGCACTACATCACCAGAGCCCCCTTTCATGCATATAAGGCAACTGAAAATACCATGACTTGGGGCTGGCTCACCTTAGTCATCAAAATGGCATCTTTGCTTTTTAAGATTTTAAAGGGGTCTTTTGCAGCAGATTTGCCTAATGTAGTAATTGTTTGATTTCTTGATTATTGTTTCCATGAGTATTGATTGTGAATCAATGTAATATGAAATCCCTGAAAACTTCAATCCTTTCTCCATTTATCATGATGTTGCATATTGGTCCAGTTGTACAGATTTTTGTTTTTGTTTTCTTTATGTTGAGGTGTAATCCATGCTGAAGACTGTCATCTTTGATCTTCAGTCTTTCAATTCCTTTTCACTTCTGGCAAGCAAGGCTGCATCATCTGCATTCTGCAAGTTGTTAATGAGTCGTCCTCCAATCCTGATGCCATGTTCTTCTTCATATAGTCCTGTGTCTCAGATTATTTGCTAGTATACAGATTGAATAAGCATAGTGAAAGGACACAACCATGACCCACACCTATTCTGATTTTGAACTTGTTGTTGTTGTTGTTTGCCATTGAGTCGGCCCGACTCATAGCGACCCTTCCTTGGGTTTCCGAGGCAGTATCACTACGGAAGTAGGAATGCCCAACCTTCCTTCCGAGGAGTGGCTGGTGGGTTTGAACCGCCAGCCTTCTGGTTAGCAGTCAAGTGCCTTAGCCACTATGCTACCAGAGCTCCTTCTCTTATTCTGTTTGAACAACTGCCTCTTGATCTAATTTGCTGATAGTAGTATTCTTTTGCATTTCTTCTTTTTTTTACTTTAATGAAATTAGGTAAGTTTATTTGTCTAGATTCCTAATAAAAGGTGAGTTCATTTAGAACAGAAATCTAGTCCTTAGCATAGTTTCTTTTGGTGATGCTCTGTTCCACTTATGAGAAGGCTTTTATTTGTATTACCATCTGAAGTTCTCTGCAGAGTCATCTGTCCAGAAAACACATCCTCATTGTCTGACTGAAATTTTCATTACTAAGATATTGTTGGAACTACTCTAGAGATATAGGAACAGAGACACTTTAATTAAATTTCACAAACGTATTTGAAACCCCTGCTAGACTCAATTATTTTTGCTAAGTATTGGTATGGATACAGAGATGAATATGATAAAGGTGAAGTTCCAGTGAGTACATGGTAGCGGTGAAAAAAAAAAAAAAAAGACCTTTGTCTTGTTGACAGCATCACGCTATTTAAAGAGAAGCAACATTTTCCCCAGAATAAATTATCTGTTTATCTGTTTTTCTGTCTATTCATTCATCATATGTACACTTTTGCATGCGTGTGTGTGTGTGTGTGTGTGTGTGTGTGTGTGGGTGCGTGGGTGGGTATGTACTTGGTGGGCAGTGGCAGGGAATTAAAAGAGACAGGACAGACAACGTAAATTCCTCCCCTCCAGTGAAGTTTCCCAAAATCCTTGTACACACCACTGATGATTCTAAGGACAGCTGTTTACATATTTATTTTCCTCATTAGACTGTGTGCTCCTTGAGGGCAGAATTTATGTCCTATTTCCAATAAGCACAGTGCTGGGCATTTAGTAATGATAAATTAATGACGAAGAGGGTGAAGGTAGCACTTATTGAAGTAACTCTGCCACTTGCTCTGCAGCAGACATCTTTTTTTTTCTTTTTAACTTTTTATTGTGATTTGGATGAAATTGTACAAGGCAAATTCATTTTACATTCAACAGTTCATACACATTTTGTTTTGTGACATTGATTACATTCTTCACAGTGTAACAGTTCTCCTACCACTTCCTTTCTGTGGTTACATTTTCCCTTTGTCTTTCTTG